TAGCTTTCAACTTGAGTTTTGAGATCACCAGCCAAAGGCTTTTTTTTTCATATCAGTGGCACTGCTCACACTCACAGAAGTTGGGGTCAGCTTTTCCTCCTGCCACTAAACAAACAAACAAAAAAAATTAAAAATAAATAAACAAAAACAGTATGTTAGGAATTTGAGCTTCTTTTCCTTACATACCTGCAATTTTGAAATCAACAAATAAATTAGATATAAAAAGCCCAGGGAATGCTTTTCCACTGGCCGCCCTCCTCCCTTTCATCCACCCCCATCCACTGGCTGCTCTCCTCTCCTTCACCCCCCCCCCCCCACTGCACTGGCTGCCCTCTCCCCTTCACCCCCCCCCCCCACTGCACTGGCTGCCCTCTCCCCTTCATCCCCCCCCACTGCACTGGCTGCCCTCTCCCCTTCATCCCCCCCCACTGCACTGGCTGCCCTCCTCTCCTTCATCCCCCCCCCCCCCCCACTGCACTGGCTGCCCTCTTCTCCTTCACCCCCCCTTTCACTGGCTGCCCTCCTCTTCTTCACTCCTACCCACCTCTGTCTCTCTGTCTTCCCACTGGCTGTTTTCCTCTCCATCCCCCTGCCCCCAAAGGAAAATTATTAACTACTCTGTCAGCTTTTAGGATGCACTAAAAGGCTAATTGTAGTTTTACACATTTTAAAATACATTCATTTATTCACAGTATTTCTTAGATGTTTTCTTGCACATCTTCCCCCCTCCCCCAACTTTTGAATTATGGAGGATATGCCTCATCTCTCAGTATTCTGTACTTCCAGGAGACACCATAAAATCAGCCTGTACTTTTATCTTTCATATGGCACTTATTTGTGGAGTATGTATGTCTATGTCTGACTGCTGTTTTCATCTGCCAAATAAAAGTTATTTTTGTTTATAGGTTTCATTGAAGCAATGAAAACAAAGTATTTGACTTAGGAAAGGATGTTTGTTACAGGATTGCCTACACCCCTTCTTCACGACACAGATTTAGAATGACACAGTCAGACCTTCTGTGTGATTAACAGTTCCAGATAAAGTCATTGAATTTAGTCTTTAAAGCTTTACTCCCAGCTAGTATTCTGTAATTGGTATTATAAATATAAAACTTGATTAAGTTTTAAAGAGAATGTCTCAGTGCTGGAATATACCCCTCTTTCTCCACAGTGGAGAAAATTTCCTTACTGGGCTTTCTAAGCAGAGGTGAGACTTTCCATTAAGTAAGATGAACCCAGAGTGGACCAAGATGAGTCCTGAGTTCATTTCTGACTTGTGTTGTTTCATCTTGCTTGGCTGTTCACTCAGTCTCCTGATGGACAGAGCTTTGTGGATATTGCTTTCCTGTTCCCATACAGCTGGCTGGTTAATGTGTGCAAAACTGAAAGGGTTGTGTGACTGTTCCCCCTTGTTTTCCCCGCCTCAGTTTCTATTTCTTCCCACATGAAATAGAATATATTTTGTTAGAGAGAAAAGCATTTCGGAAATTGCCTGTTTCATAAACTGTCTGCTGACACAAAGGGGTTGAATGCTGTATTCTTGTCTCATTTATTTTGAAAACTTTGCTACTGAACTCACCTTAATCAATGAGCTCAGTGTTGTCTCCAATAAGTTACGTGTTGGATATATTGATTGGGAGGGATTTTAGAAAACCCATCTGGGGTTTATAATGTCAGCAGTGTTTTGATTATGAAAAGAGTTGGAACCTGGGGACATGGAACCAGGTGGCGAATGTCCTAAAGCCAGTGGTGACATGGTGGACTGGTTCCCTCCTGGGATCTAGTTCATGCCCTGCACTTTAACTGCAGTGACTGGCTACTATAGATTCACTTTTTTTTTTGCTCATTAAAAATATAAAAAATCAGACTGTCCATAAAAAGATTTGTGAAAATATAAACTTGTGAGTTGATCTGGAGAACTGGCACACAGCCCTCCAACCCCCACTCCCTTTGCAGTGAGGCCTTTACATTTCCTCAGCTGCCCTGCCTTTCCAAGATCCCCTTTATGTGCAGGAGTGGAGGCTGAGCCGAGGTTGGCTGGCTGAATGAGCTTGTGTGGGGGATAAAACAGTGAAATTGACATCTACAAACCAAGTTCCCCAGCTAGACATGGTTATTGAGAGAAAAGGGGGTTGGTAACTGGGCAGTGATTGTTTCCCCCATTAAAATTAGTGTTGAAAGATTCTGGAATACTCTACAATAACTAGAAGGCTCAAAAAATATTCAAATCAGGTTTTACTCCCGCTCCCTTGGAGAGTGGTCTTTCCATATTTGAATAATTGTGTTTTTCTTTGGACAAAGAGGATAAGGTAGCTGAATATTTATATATGATGAAAGCATCATTATGAGAACATTGGTTTATTTTGGCAGCTTTTATTTACAAAGAATATTGCTTGTTTCCCCTCTCTCTTGTTGTCCCCTCCCCAAACTCAGAAGTAGATCTTTTAGTTCTGATTGAAATCATGTGATTATGCCTTTTACCAGATAGATGCTCATTTTCCCCCTCTGACAGCACACCACCATCTTGTTTGACTTAAATTGAAATATCAAGCTCTTGTGGCATCACAAACACCAAGAAACATACGGTAATATGCAAACACGTGCCTGCCATTTTCCTACATCTCCTCTTCCCCCATCTCCCCTGCCCTACTATTTTGTGGGGTGAAAAGGAAAGCCTATATTGGTCATTTCCATATTTGTTCTAATATTATTTGACAAATTCATGGTTGGTCATTACTCTTGACATAAGAAAGCGGTAAGTGGTTTCTATATTGTAGTTAGTAATAAGTTGGGCATATTCGATTCCTTTGACTCTGCTGTAGAGCACAATGCTTTCTAGTAGCCATGGGGGTCCTTTCTTTCAAAAATCTTTGAGGCCTTTTGCCAGCGCAGCTCCAGCATAGAGCAGAGAAGTGCTTTCTGCATCGGAAACTTTGGGCAGTAAAACATGACTGTCTTTGTAGCTGCTGATGTTGGCAATGAGTGAGCACATGGTACTGACTTTTAAAGAATGTGTATTTTAAATTGAGATATGCTTTCTGGTATTATTTGTAGTAGAAGGAATTGTTTACCACATGGTGTCATGGGAGTTTTGTATGTGGATAATGTATTTTATAATTACACTAAAATAAATGTTTTATACAGTCTCTTTTCCAGCATTTGTGTGATAATAAGATGTACCAAGAAACTGATTCTTTTTTTTTTTTTTTTTTTTTTTTTTTTTTTTTTTTTGGTTTTTCGAGACAGGGTTTCTCTGTGTAGCTTTGCGCCTTTCCTGGAACTCGCTTTGGAGACCAGGCTGGCCTCGAACTCACAGAGATCCGCCTGGCTCTGCCTCCCGAGTGCTGGGATTAAAGGCGTGCGCCACTACCGCCCGGCTGAAACTGATTCTTATATGGTGCTTTATTTTAGCTATATACTACTAGTTTAAAACCACAAAAGGTAGACTTCTGAATGCCACATAGAACGTCCAATTGATAGGTAATGCTTCTCAGAACATGCTGATGCTCTTAGCCACTTTTTCAGTCATCACTCTTTTATGACATGCCTTAACAGTATTGTGATATATGTAGACCCAATCCAAGGTGATATTAAAGCTAGGATATATGCTCAATTAAATTGTGTTGGCAGAACACACTCTGGCAGAGCAATTCCATGTGCTTTCTGCTTCACTGACCGGGTTATTAGATTGATGTGGTTTATTTCTTGAATGATAGAACTGGTTTTAAAAATAAATGAAGCGAGAAGCATCAATTCAGTTAGCATTGATAATTCATTATTATTGGTTAAAAAAGCGCTACATTTGTAAACTGATCTTTAATTTATCACTTGGATTAGTATTTGCAACAGGCAGGTTTGTTTTAATTTGAACCAGCTTCCCAATGACCAAAAAAATGTGTTCTTCATTTTGTCTTGAGGTTGGGATTTTAGATAGTTAAAAAGGAAATCAAATTCATGAAAGGAGTACTTTTTAAAAATTTATAACACTGGTCAGTGACCTTATGATGAGCACCAACTGTGGGCTGTCCAAGCCTGTGGTCAGATTAAGTCAAGACGTAGAAAATTCTATGAAGAAGTAGTAGTTAATTACTCATATATATGGTTAGCTGTATGCATGTATGTATATGTAAATTGTGTCTATTAGGAAAAGTTCCTCACCCCATATTGTGCTTCATGTTCCAATGTTCTTGTCTTACTGTAAGGACATTGTCTTTTATAAATAAATTTTTGAGATGTCACTCCTTCCTGTGCCTTTCTTCTGAATAAGTGCTTGCCATGATGTGCCTCAGCATTTGTAAAAACATTTATTCACACTAATAGTTTGCTTTGGAATTTCATAAGTTATAAGCAGGTAAGTGTGTCTAATTATGGTAATGATGTTTAACTAAAAACAATGGTCACAGTTTGATTTCTAAAATTACTTTATGCCACTAATGGTAACTTCTTGAAAAAGCAACTAAATGAAGTTTTAAACTCTAAAAATGGAGTTAAGAATGTTTATAAACAATTATTTTCAAGTTGGCTTTCTGTTCTGCTGTAATTTGCCCTATTGATGCGGGGAAGCGTTGTCTAATTCCAGCCCCCTCTGTTCCTAGGTAACAGTCAAAAACAGTGCCAGCAACAGCGGCCCTGCCAGGCCAAACCCATGTGGCTCAGTGTTATTCACTCTGATCCATATGGTCAGGCTGGAGATGGTCCCTGGAGGGGTGTTAACACTCGACAACCCAAGCACCTCCCTCCCATCGGAGCTTTCCTATGTGGCTCCTGCTGCCTGCCCATGTGTGATTCTTGATTAATTTTTCATTTTTAATGAAGTTTGATCATGTTTATTATTTCTCATGATTGACTGCCTGGTCCTCCTCCTGTGTAATTGATAAAGCACATATTTCTTCATCTGTCTCCTCTTTCTTTAGGGTAAAGTTGCTAGATGGTGTTCTGTGATTAATGTTAGATTTATTGGTCCCATTAGATGTATAAATTATCTCTCTTTCTCTCCACAGGAAGTTCTACAGACTTTGACCAAGTTTTGTTTCCCCTTCTATGTGGACAGGTAGTGTCAGATTTTCAAACTTTATTAGTTAAAAAAAAAAAGTATCAATAAACCTGCTATAGAAAATAAAAGCCATGCCATTCTTAACATTCTGTCTGTTAAACCGTGATTTAAAGCACCTCTATGGCAAGGAGAGTTGCAGTGTTCTTCTTTCTTGGGAACTTTATTGACACCATCAAAAAGTTTAAATCTTAGAGCTATGTGTTGCATAGTTTTTGAGATGTATTTTGTATGGTATTAAATTTTTGATTTTGGTTATTAGATTTAAACCATGATTAAGAATGGTTGGTATTTAATTCAGTACTGTTGAATTTGTATTTAAGTATTAATATGTTTGGCTTAGACAAATAATGAACACCTGGCCTTATAGTTTGTTTTCCCTTGGTTTCAACTCCAAATTTAAATAGATATGGACCTATCTTGTTTAGAAGCATTTTACTGCTTAAAAGATATGTTACTAAATAATGTTTTTCATTTGGTTTAGGTGACGAAAGGTAGTGTTTCTAGGGAATCAACATTTTCTATAGGCATGAATACTAAAACATACACAAGCTTCTGAACAGTCCTTAGTATTCATATCATGAGAAGTGACTTATGGGAAGGGTACAACTATAAGAACTCCAGGTTAACCGAAGTGCTGTGAGGCTCTTTTTGTTTGATAAATAATCTACTGCATGATAGCAGCAATTTTTCAAAAACTTAATTTAACTTTCTTTAGTTGTAACTTATTAATGTTAGTAAAATGGCAAGGTGGTGAGCGTTATCTTATTTTCAAGAACTGTTTGCTGTGGCCTCCATTCCAATGAGGCATTATTTTTATGATCATTTGTCCACTCGCTTGTTGTCTCTTTTCGGTTTTCTTGGGAAATTGAACTGGAACTGTAAAAATCATTTTTTTTTTAATTCCACTTTTAGTGTTAGAGATCTTGTGGAAAGTGAATGAAGCATGACTAATGAATTTCATAAAACATTCCAAGAAAGCTGTGTAAAATGTCCATGTTTAGGAAGGTTCTATCATGTATTCTTAACATCCACAAATAAGGCATGAGTTAAAGGATTTGGGTGGTTTAGAGTACATATGAGTAGTGTGCTACTGAGTTCTTTTCTATACATTGTAATACCAGTATCCTGGTTTATTGGCATAAGCCTAAGAATGGTGTGGGATGAGATGGTAGCTGAAGGAGTCTTGAGTCCTAAGAGCAACTCTGGAATGCTGCCAGCCCCTTAGCATCAGTGCTCTCCCTTGTTCTCACGTGTTGTTTTTAAGCCAATCAGCCATTGTCATGCTTTCAGACTCAGAGCTTTTAAAACCTGGTACCAGGATATTTTAGTAGCAGTGGGTGCTCAGAACAGAATAGCTTTGATTTTTAAGAGGGTCTGTCTTTGTAATGAGAGTCCTTTCTTTCCTTCTTATCCTATTGCTTCTAAAAAATAGCAAGAGGTGTAGGGTATCACCGAGAGATTTTATATGTATGAATCAGCAATGTATTAAATTCCCAGCCATTTAGGAACTGTATTACAAATTATAAAAAGACATATTTATACAAATTAATAAAGCTGAATGTAGCTAAATGTTTAACAAAATATATAAGAAGACATTTTGACAGGATTGCTTGTTAGAGTGGTGATCTGTTTGGATAAATGTTCTTTAATTGGCTTTGTACATGAATATTAGAGACAAGCCCCACCCTAATGCAGTCTGCATGCACATGTATACACTCAAACACACATCTCTCATTTTCACTGTACACACCACCCTGCTTGCCTGCCAATCTAGATGATTATGTTCTTAATTAAAAGAAAAGTAGAACTCCTTCAGGGATAATTCTGAAGCACCCGCTCCTTTTGTTAACTGTAACACTGGATGCTTCTTTACTGTTATTGGAAAAACATTTTTCTTGTAAAACACATTTCTGCAAATCACTCATACCAGTGGTATTCCTTATTTTTTCTTTTGCAACATTATGTAGGTTATTCAGTGTGTAATAGTTTGTCTTCACATTGTATTATATTTCTTAAGGTAACTTCAACTCATGCCCCAAACACATAAAACAAGGAAGATCCAACTTTATTTGGGAAATGGCATTTCCTTTGTTTTGTACCTTTTAGGCAGCCATACTTCAATATAGAAGAGATCATCACAATCAGACTCCTTTATGAGAAATTCAGAGGTTTTAATGTCAGGATTTTTTTTTTGCATTTTTTTATTTTATAATTTAATTTAATTTTACATATCAGCCACGGATTCCCTTGTCCTCCCCCCTCCCTCCCCCCCTTTCCCCCAGCCTACCCCCCATTCCCATTCCCATCTCCTCCAGGAGACGATTTTTTTTTTTTAAATTAGTTGTTAGCACTGTCAAGTAGATGAGCCCAGATTCTGAGGCCCACAAGTTTGCCCAGGTGGGTCTGTGGAACTGTTTGAATAGACAGCCATGGGAGATGAGCAGTGCCCCAGGTGGATGCACTCAAAACAAAAGGCTTCCTGATATGTGCTTTTCCACCCTAAGGAATAGTCACAGGACTTTTCTGACATTCTAGTCTGTTAACAGGAGTGGGACTTTCACAGTCATCATCAAATCACCTGTCAGCACTGACGTCTTGCCATCTCTTGTGCTGTTTTAAGATTGTTCTTTCTGAAACTAAGACTTATCAAAAATAATAATGCTAGTAGCTCTGCAGAAGAGAGGCTTTCTCCCATATTATCTCATTTTATCATCTGATGTAAGAGATAAGAGCAAGTACATGTTCTTCATTTGAAACTGTCTAAGTATGGAGGAATTATGACTTGCCCAAGGTCCTGCTAGGCTTATAGTCTGTCCTAGGTTTCATCTCCCAGTAGATCACCTTGTGGAGAAAGACTAGTCACCAAAAATAGAGAAATCAAGGGATAAGGGTAAGAAAGAAAATTAGCCTGGGTATCTAATTGATTCTAGTCAATGTGCTACTCTGGCTGGTTATGTCCTCCCCTACTCTTTCCACAGTGGCCAAGTGATAGATATGAAAGCAAAGGCTTATCCAGGATAGGTCTCATTATGTTGGGTTATATGCACAATATAGAAATGGTCTTGGGTTTAGTTCAAGACGTTCTATAAAGGCATTTTAAACACTGTTTGAAAGGATGGGGAGGTAACAGAAGACTAACATGCTCAGAGAGAATTTGTTATGGTGAGTGAGACTTGTGTTGAGTCTGCCAGGCCAGCAAGAAGTAGGTAAGTGGAAAAGTGAGCCTAACACCCCGTATGCACACAGAACAAAGCAGAGGAGAAAACCCTGAGTGAGCTTGGAGATGTTCAGCCAGAGCAGATGGAGTCTGCTGGGGAGGCTGCCCTGTACTGTGAGAGATTGGGCTCTGGCCACAGGAGGCTCTGAAAATGTGTGGGAGAGGCCTACATGGTCTTGAGAGTGCAGCATCTGCCTCATCATCCCATTTTACAGAAAAAAAGTCAAGATCCACAGAAGAAAAGGTCCTGCCTATCATCATAACCACAGTCACAATGCTGGGAAGGAACTCAGTTCCAGTCTAGAGTTCTTGCTACCCATTCCTGTTCTGAAGCTTTTGGGGGTAGAAGTAGTAAAGTAAGCACTGAGTTCCTGTATTGTCTCAAAAAAGGTTCCCTGTTATTGATGAAATCACTTCTCAGAGTAAATGAGAGACACGCCCCATTCTATACTGTGGTTGCCTCTTGTTGCACATGATGCTGACAGTAGCTTTAGTGAGTCAGAATGCCTGTGATGCATTGGGTGCCAGGAAGCTCTTCCTTTGCTTAGCCTTATTCAGAATTCAAGTCAGCTTCACTCAGTTCCTGTGAATACACCTGTACTCACCAATGATAGGTGTACAAAGTGAAATGACACTGTTTCATGGTTTTAGATGCAGCCACAGATGCAAAGGGGGCTCAGATGTTACTTGACACTTTAGCTTGTATCTGGTATCTGCTGGGCACTGTGCAGTGTTCTGTTCTTATGTGGAAACATAGAGATTTGTAGTGTTATGCTCACTATTCTGCAGGCGGGCAGCAGAGGCCCAGGTAGGTTCAGTAATGTGCTCAAGATTCTGCCTCTAGTGTGTGGAGGGAACTGCTTTTCAAGCCCTTCATTTTTTACTGCAACCTTTTTTTTTTTTTTTTGCTTTATCATACTGCTGCCATTAAGGTAACACAGCATAAAGTAATTTATGTTGAAAATAATATATAGTTATTGTAGAAAATTAGGTAACTGAAGAAAATGGTTCCCATACAGATAGAGCGTTGTCCTGGTTAGTGCATCAGTGTAGATCTTCCAATACTTCTGTTTCTGCTCCATATATTCATTATGCTAGACTTTAGTCCTTTTAGTTCAATGTAAATGATGGGTTCAGCTGTGGCTCATGGTCATTTCCACAGCATCAGGGCATGGGGAGGCCTGTTGAGGTGTAGGTTTCCTTTGGGTGCTCCCCTTGACTTGCTGTGTCCCTCCGGTGAACTGGGAAGTTCTCTACTATTCCTCCAGTTTTGATAAGTTTAAATTCTGTGGTTATTGATAATTTACTTCATCAATGCTTATGTAGACAAAGTCAGGGCAGATCTCTGTTCTTTCTTAGAAATGTTTGGTGGTTTTCTTGAGTAGATAAGGACTACACTGTTTCTAACAGTCTGCAACTTACTGCCCAGAACTCTTGGGAGAGTGTTGTTCTCAATGCTTGCTGTCTGAGCAGGGATGGTAAAAAAAGCTTGAGGCCCAGGCAAATGCAAAGTGTACGTATGGAGGGAAGCTTGTGGTTCACGGAACATCAGGATGGGAGATACAGTTTGATAAAAGCTTGGCTCCTGCCCAGCAGGCCACAAACTCTCAAGGACAGGATAATTTGGCAATAGACAGTTCTTCAGGTGATTGTTAGTAAGCTGTAGTAAGCAGGGGTGACAGTGTTTTAGTTCCAGACATGTACTTTATAATTGTGTAACAGTCATGGTCATTTTTGTTGTGTACCTTCTATGTGCTAGTTGCCTTATATTCTTGATTTA